CCCCCTCTTCTTTTTTGCCTCGGCGGTAGAAATCTTAGCGACCGATGAGGTCACAAGAGAAAGAGATAGAGAACTTGGGCGAGAGACCAATGAACGGCACCTCGTCTGAAGGCAACTCCTGAAGACAAAAAATACCGAACGGATTTGTGGCATACCGGTCACAAGTGGCTGGAGGGGAAGCTTTGGCACCGATCATAACCTGTGAAGGTTGTGGTGAGGAGGTTGGGAGGACAGGATCGACCTTGAAAACGTTGTTTTGTCCATGCTGCCAGTCCGCCGTGTTACTGTTGTTGGATTACCCCTACTACCTGATATACGGGAATAGCTGCACACTTTCGGCACACAAACTCCCCAACCCAGCTCGTAATCGGTGCACAAGGTACCCGCAGCCCGACCTCTGGCCACCCGTGCAGATTTTCCAAATGGTTGAAATCGATTCTAAACTGCAACAATATCAAGAGATGACTCGTACCACTGCATGTGCTATGTCGTCCAAGCATCATGCCCCGGACAAGCCAAGCGGTCAGGCCATGTCAGCAACACTCTTCCTTGTCGTGTTTACTGCTGTAGTTAGAAATATGTGTGTCTACAATATCTCATGGTTGCAGTATCGAAAACCTTAATAGGTCAATATCTGCATTTACTTCGAGTGAATGCGATAGAAGGTACAGTTGAAAACCAGTTGTCGCCAGACGGTTTGGAGACGCCTCAATAGGGGTCTCCCATGAGAGACAGACGGGTCCCACCATACACGGGTATCCTGCTTGTACTTCGGTGTCGAGGCCGTTACATAAGCGGGTCCGACCCCAGCTTCGGCGCCCCTGATTAATGCGTATTGGACGCCCAAGATAGGAACAAGACGGAGAAACGCGGAAGGGCGACGTTCCTGGCGCTCACCTTTTTGCGCCAGATAGGGCATGTCGACCGTTTTGCCACAGAGCGGAACGAGTACACGGGCCGCAGCCCCGGGCTTCTGGCCATCCGTAGGTCTCATGAAGTCATCGTAGTTTTTCACGAGGATCTCATTCGGTTTCTCGCGATGCCATGCCTTCGATAGTAAGTTTCACACAGCCACGAAAACACAATGTCAGACGGTCGTTCATAATATATATGTTATGTTACGGGAGGACTCACGGTCTTGAGAAAGCCGCGCTGAGATAACACCCATCCCGCGCCTCTCTCGGTAAGCTCCCCCCGACTTTAGCAGCGCTTCGTCACCTGCAGCCCGTTGTTTCCACCTCAGAGGCATGCCTCGCTTGCCTTATGCCTCACTTGCCTTCAAGGCCTTTTCTAGCAACGACTGGGGTTTGTCGCCCGCTGCACTGCCCTCAGGTTGTATGTCTCCAGAGACCAAAGACACGTCGATAGGACAAAAAACGGGAAAATGCACGAAACGTAAATGCCTTCAACATTACCGCATACGGCGGGCCTTGCTGCACCCAAATGCCAGAGCTCATCATGCTACCCTGCGATGTGCGTGGCAGCTAAAAGGTGATGGTCCGTACGTCCGTACGCATACAAAACTCATGTCGCTTCAAATACTCGCCACTCGTCCCGCCGCCCATCTATCATTCCATCGCTCTAGCCTGTCTTCGTCACAAACGGTCAAAACAGCAACAGTAGCAGCGGCGGCAGCGGCGGCGGCGGTGGCAGCAGTAGCAGTAGCAACGGCGAGTGCAGTTGGCCGGGCCTGCTTCGTTGACGAGTAAATTTGGGGGCGAAGTTGCCTCCGAGGCATCAACTTTGGCAGTAGTGCGCTGCTGCGTGTTCGGAAGAGAAACATGGTTATCAGCGCTTGCACAGCCAGCCCCAGCCAAGCAGGGTTTGGTACAGTAGTGGCGTTGGTACAGCCGACCCCTGCCGAAAAGGAAGTTTGTGCTGAGCAGCATTCCCAAGCTCCGGAGCTGAGCTGGTCCGCTGGTTCTATAGACTAATAGGTTCAGAACCTTTTGTGTTCGGGTGTCAGCTCTCGGGTGTCCGGGTTCGGGCAAGGCAAGAACCAAAAAGTCTCGCCGCGGCTCAGGCTCCACACTCCACACCAGCTCGCTTGCACGCTAACCACCCACGGGCAATAGCTGACGGGCAACCACGCCAGCTGAGAGAGGGGACCCATCGGGGATGTTTTGAAGCCCGCCCACGGAGTAATGGTATCATGGTAAGATTATCTTCAACATCGTTGATGATGTTTCCAGATTTCGACCCCGCGCGTTCTTGCGCTGTTACGGTATCCGGTTGCAGTTTATTTATTCAAACAGTTGTACATGTATGCATACGTAGGACAAAGCCGGTGACCCCGGCACGTCAAGCTATGGTGGAAGTTTGAATCCCGGCGGGATAGTAGCTTTTCTGCATCCGGCCCGTTATGGACCAGCAGCCTTTTTGCACCGTTGGTTTACCTGTTTCACGGCTGAACCGTACACGGAACTCTCCGGAGTAGTCTACTCTGTAGGTGATCTGTGTAAGGAGCACATGTTGTGATTACCCTGAGGAAATGATGACCCAACTCTTCTTCCGCTAAATAAGGAATATATGCGCTCAGCCCCGGTGGTTCAATTGGTCACCTCTGACAGAACCCGCTGACGTTTATTTGCGGTTTGCGGGTTCGAATCACTCAGGACTGATAAACACGCAAGTTGATGCAGACATAATGGAAAGCCCACTGCTTTCAGTACGCAAAAGAGAACGAGGGAATGGACTACTGCTGTGCTGAACCCTTCTCGCGTGAATGCGTTGAAGGCAAGCACCGCCGGCCGGAGGAAAGATGGAGATAAAGAAGAAACTCCTGTAATACCTTCCATGGTAACCCTGGCTGGTGCGCATACGAGAGGTGTACACTAGGACCCCCAATATATTGGACGAATCACACAAAGACACGAACACAACTTGACTGGGCTTGAACTAACCCTTCTGTGCTCCTTCACTACATCATAAGGGGCTAATTGAGTCGGGTGGTAGCTTGCGTGAACATGTGTTCTTCTCCGGTTGTTTTCATGACATTTGGCGACCCCACTTAAAGTTTTGGCCCCCATTCAAGGACCTTCATTGTTACCCCTCTGAGACAAGACATTTTTCTATTGGTCAGTCGGTCAGCGCGGTCAACGCAAATTTAACAATCATACATACGCCGCAAGAATGCTACATGGTCGTTTGGCGTCTTGCTAGTTTAGGCACTCTCAACCCAGAGACTGGGTCCTGTCGGGGGG